TCCGCAGAACTAGCAAAAAACATCCGCAGATTCCGTCTGGCCTTAGATAAAACTATTACATTTTAATAGTATAATATTTTTCAGCTAGATTTTTCTTTTTCTCACACATCAGCAGGGGTGTATTTAGTGATTAGTGATAGCAATTCCAGCCATAGGACCAAAGTCCTAAAATGCACTCTTTCTACTTTTATTTAATTTTAATTTATATTGCTGTTTTTTATATCACTCCATCAACTTTCCATCATCTCAATCTAAAAATAATATACTTTTTTTTTTTTTTTTTGACTGCTGGACTGCTCCATGATGGATATTTTATTTGGTAATATTATTATTATTGCATAACATTACGTTATTATAATAATATTATATTAAATTGTATAATTAATATTTATGTTTGTTTAACTCTCACCATAAAAAATATGGTAGAGAACAATGTTATATATAGATTATAGGTACAATTTAAATTTCTAGATATTTATTGGGGCCCCCAGATGTCTTCAAAACCGCCCTGCGCATTGTGGATTGATTGATTGATTGATTGATTGATTGATTGATTGATTGATTGATTGATTGATTGATTGATTGATTGATTGATTGATTGATTGACAGAAATATGTTGTTTATTTTTGTCTCTATGAAGCCTAATAGACTTACAGTGTCCACTAACCTAAGTTGAACAAACTGCCTTCCCCCAGGTGGCGCTTTAAGGCTCATTCAAAGCTTATATTAGTAACAATTATGGACATTTTAAGACATTATTTAGCATTTCAGTAGCATTTTCAAGTTGCTCCTTACAAAAGAGACCATTAATTTTACAGTATTTCAAGACCAAAAACTTGAATCCATCCTAATGTACTTTCTTTTTTAATCAAATAACACTTGACATAGTGATGTTTTAAATTACTTACCCTGTGTAAAAACAAAAATGTGACTTTTTATGACAATAGAAGGACTTCGTATGATTTTCCTTAAGAGTTAAATATGATTTTACTGCTTGTAGAGTTGTGTAGATAGCCTATATGGAGACTCTGACTCACATGTTGTAGCGGTAATATCCTGAGGACTCTCTGACGGTCTTGACGGATTTCAGGTGATGTGCGTCCACACCGCCGTTCTCCTCTTTCCAGCACTGCTCATCTTCGTCCTCGGAAAACGACACTCTTTTCTGGTATTTGGATCCTCTGGCTTTCATGGACATCCAGACAGCGGCAGCAAGAGAGAGAGCGGCTCCAGGACTCCAGCACGGCTCACTGCGGGCGCTGCTCCGACTCCAGCATCTGTGTGTGCGTGTGCGTGTGTGATGAGAGAGCGCGCGCGCGAGAGAGAGGGTCCAGCACCAGCATCCTTGCCAACGTCACATCCAGTCAGATAAAGAGTCACAGGCTAATCAAGGCACTGTGGGTTTAATTAATTTGCATTTTGTGTCAGCACTTTCACTGTTTATTGCTTAAGAATGTGCCAAGAATTTGAGAAAAAAAAAAAAACTAAAAAGCTATCAAAAAATGAATAAAAGGATATTTTAAATGCTTTAATTTATTTATTAGTTTACTTTTTATTAGCTTACTTTAAATATAGAACGTAATTATTGTATTTAAATTGCTATGCTTTATTTATTAATTTATTTTATTTTGTATATCATTGTTAAAAATATATATTGTTGCATTTTATAACGTTGAATTCATTTCTATAATATAATATTAGGCTAGGTGTGTGATTGGTGCATGACTGGATCTTGTAGTCCATTTAATGCTGGATTTGTAGTTCTATGCAATACTGTATGTTTACCAGCGATCTGCACAGGCTGAATCACTAATGATCGTGACACAATGTTTAATTAATTTTGTAAATAAAGCAATAAAAATACAGAGTGAAAAATAATTAATGAAACATACAAAGTGCATAGTATTGGAGCTAAACAAAATAACACAAACGCCTATAAGGTGCAGTGTAGCCAACACAATCTCACGGCAATTTGTAACTTTTTGATTTAGTGGCTAATTCGTATGAATGCATACGATCTAATTCATACAATTTAGTACGATTTGCTCATCCCCCAATGACGGTTGAGTTTAGGGGTGGGGTTAGGTGCCATGCCTCCTTTTTTAAATCGTACAACTTCGTATGACTGAACTCGTACGAATTCGTATGAATTAGCCACTAATCTGGCAAAACGTAAAATACTTAACGTTTTCTCGTGAGATCAGGCTGGTGGAGCATGTTCGCCTCACAGTAAGAAGGTTGCTGGTTCAAACCTGGACTGTTCAGGTGCTTCGGTTTCCCCCACAGTCCAAATTTCATATATATATATATATATATATATATATATATATATATATATATATATATATATATATATATATATATATATATATATAAATACACATATTGTTGTTTTACCATATGTTTGAAAATTTGCAATACTAATAGGCTAATCATATTAACCTTTATTTTACATTTACAGAATCTTGAGAAAATCGTGATCTTGATTTTAAGCAAAAAA